AAAGCAGTCATGGCTGTGTGCACTGGAGAAGTAAAAATGGAAGGATCTAGGGTGGTCTGGCTGGCCAGCTGGTCTAGCCAAAAGAGTAAACTGAACAAGTTAGTCAGTCAGTGGCTTCTCCAGGGAGGGAGCAAGGATCAAAAAGAAAAAAGACAATTAGACTACACTAGCATGACCCAGCCAGTTCTGAGGCTGAAGTGGGTTTATTTTTTCCCAGTCTGCTTTTATACCATTTTAAGCACATGCAGAGAATAAGATCAGTTCTAGGTTAAGGAACAAGCAAGACAATAAACAAAGCCCTGTGATCATTGTTTCTAGGGGCTAATCAGGATGACCGAGATATCTGAGCCTACTTCCGTGTCCTAGCCCAAAGTCAAATTCCTGCCAAGTTTCTAGATGTGGCTCCCAAAGATCTCCACAATAAACCCCTGGTCTCAAAATATAAGCTGTGGATCAACCTCTGGCCTGGTATGCAAACAGAGAGAGAGAGAGAGAGAGAGAGAGAGAGAGAGAGAGAGAGAAGAGAGAAGAGAGGAGAGAAAAGAGAAAAGAGAGAAAAGAAGAGAGAGAGAGAGAGCGAGAGAGAGAGAGAGCTGACAGGACACGTCACACACACAAATCTATACATGTATTTAATAAACACATCTTAAAACTTCCTGGCTCAGCAGGTAAAGGTATTCACTGCCAAGCCTGAAGACCTAAGTTCAATTCCCAGGACCCACATGGTAAGAGAGAACTAGCTCCCATAAGTTGTCCTCTGACCACCACACGGGCAGCTGTACACCTATGTACATATAAATTAAATGCAATGAAAGCCTTTCTTTTTTCACTAGTTCTGGGGTCTGAGGTTGAACTTGATGGTGGACTGCTGGCTGAGCACAGAGGAGGGCCTGGGTTCTTTCCCAGCACCACAAAACAAACTAAAACCACCTCGACAGTTTCAGTGCTGAGGGACTGGTATAATGAGACGCTTTGGACAGATTGTAATGAGGTCTGATCTACTTCTCAACTAGCCCTTTTTTTCTTTTTTCTTTTTTTTAGATCCCACTCACTGCCCCCCTCCTGGTTATCCCCTTCCACAATCTTTCCCCCATTCCCTTTCCCCTTCTCCTCTGAGCAACCCCTTCCATAGCCCCCCACCCTGGCACTTCAAGTCTCTGAGAGGCTAAGTGCATCCTCTCGCACTGAGGCCAGACAAGGCAGTTCAGCTAGAAGAACTTATCCCACAGACAAACGATAGCTTGTGAGATAGCCTCTGTTCCAGTTGTTCAGGACCCACTTGAAGACTGAACTGCACATCTGCTACATCTGTGCAGGGAGGCCTAGGTCCAGCCCATGCAGGTTCTTTGGCTGGAGGTTCAGTCTCTGAGAGCCCCAAGGGTCCAGTTTAGTTGACTCTGATAATCTTCCTGTGGAGTTCCTAACCCTGCGGCTGGCCATCCTTCCTCCTAGTCATCCTTAAAAGTCTCCAAGCTCCACCCACTGTTTGGCTATAGATGTCTGTATCTGTCCTAGTCAGCTGCTGGGTGGAGCCTCTCAGAGGACAACTTGCACCAGTCTGCAAGCATAACAGAGTACCATTAATAAGTGTTAGGGATTGGTGCTTGCCTATGGAATGGGTCTTAAGTTGGGCTGGTTATTGGTTGGCCATTCCCTCAATCTCTACTCCATCCTCCACGCCTGCATGTCTTGTAGACAGGATACATTTTGGGTTGAAAGTTTTGTGGGTGGGTTGGTGTCTCTATTGCTCCATCGGGGTTCCTGACTGGCCGCAGGAGGTGGCCTCTTCAGGTTCTATATCCCCAACACTATGAGTCATAGCTAAGGTCACCCCCATTCATTCTTGGGCTCCTCCCTTATCCCAAGTCTCTGTCTTGTCCTGGAGATTTCCCCCACCTCCTCACTCCCATCAGTTATGGATTTCCATTCATTCTTATGGCTATCTAGCTGAACAAAAAAGAATATACCTTCTTCTCAGAACCTCATGGATCTTTCTCCAAAATTGATCACCTAGCTCTTGTCACTGGCTTCCAGCCTTGTTAATCTTACTTCACACAGGTTTAGAAAGAATTCTATTCTCAGTCTTAACAGAAGGCTGCTCTTTTCTGCCTCAGGAAAAAAATCAACCTTTAATGTCTCTTTTTGTTATTCTTCATCAACTGACCTTCTCCATGCACAGTTCTAATTTGATTTTTGTTGCTATGGTAAACACCATGACCAAAAGCAACCTGGGAGGAAAAGGTTTATTTTGGCTTCCCTGTTACCATCCATCCTTGAGGCAAGCCAGAAACTTGAAGCAGGAACTGAAGCAGAGACCATAATAGTTTATGCTTGGGCTCATGTTTATCTGGCTTTGTTACACAGCCTAGACAACGGCCTGTGGTGATACTCCCCACCGTGGGTTAGGTCCTCCTACATCAATTAGAAACCAATAAAGTGCCCCCACAGACGTGCCCATGGCCAATCCGATGGAGGCAGCTCCTCACGTGAGGCTTCTATGGTGTATCAAGGTGAGAACCAACATGATCCATTACATCCTCATGCTCACTCTTCTTGGAAATACAAATGCCCAGAGTTTGGGATTCACTTGGATCTCTTCTCCTAGGGAAATCCTCCTGGAAAAGGTATCCTTGGCCTTTGCAGATGTGCCAGAATGTTTCTTTAACAATATCAAATCCAAAGCTAGGTAACTCTCTACCTTCTTCTGTACACTAAAATTGAAAATACTGACCTTGCCAAGTGTTGGCAAAGATATGGAGAAACTGGGCTTTGGACTCACTGCTGAGGGACCATAAACTACTACAAATTGTTTAGGATAAAGCTTGGCAAAATTTTCCATCCCCCACCCCACCATGATCACATATATGCCCACATTAATTCCCTCTTGGGTGTTTATTAAGAGAAAAAGAATGTGGGTAAATGTCTACAGTTACTTCAGTCATAATAGTCACCAACAGGGGGAAAAAAGCAAAAACAAACAAATGGTCAACAGGAAAATAGGACTACTACACACCAAGAAAAAAGAACAAGTCACAGACATATTCAGTGATGTAGAGGAATCTCAGATGTCTCTTGAAGGCACTCTGACAGGAAGAGATGACAAGTGCATGGTATGAGGCTCTAAAGAAGACAGCTCTAATCTACAGTGACAGACAGGGCAGGTGTGCCATGGGCCCAGGTTAAAAGCACACAGGAAAGGAAAATAAACATTTGATTGGGGTTGGGGGCCTAGTAGAAATGTCCCCATCTTTATTTTGATGTTTACACTGATGCATATATTTATCCAGCATCACCGAGATACTTAAAATGAGTGCATCATTTTGTTACATGGAATAAGGCGCTCTAGCTGGGTACCCATACCTAGAATCCCATCATGCAGAGTTTGAGTCTGAGGATCCTGAATTCAAGATCAGCCTGGGCTGCATACCAACAAGTAATGTGTTCAGGGAATCACTGTGATCAAGCCCTTGCCCAACTTGTTCAAGACTCTCAGTGTGAACTTGGGTACCATAAATAAAGCTTACAGAACAGTGTCAACTATTCCTGTCCATCTGTCCCTGTAAGCAAATATTCCTACCATTGCTCCAACAGCCACTACAGCTAGGCGTGAAATTGCTGCCCGAGATCTCCCATTCATGAGTTAAAGTATGAGAGCTCACACTTACGACTGCAGAAGTGGGGAGAACTGCAGTCTGGGACTGGGAAAATAACTCAGTCAAGATAGTGTTGGCCATACACACATGGAAACCTGAGTTTGATCCCCAAAACTGTGGCCATCTATGATACCAGAACTGGGAAGACAGAGACAGGAGGATCTTTGAGCTTGCTAGCTTAGCTAGGCACACTGAATTCAGACCTTATCTCAAAAATAAGGAGTAGAGAAATTGAGGAAAGCAGCTGCTGTTGACCCACCAGGTTGAACACACACACGGGGAGAGGAACACACACATGAAAAATGGAGTCCAAAAAAAGACTTCACCAAAAAAGCAATCACCAACATGACCCCCCATTCCTGCCACCACCACTGAAAGAAGACATTTGTCAAGAGATTCCAGTGCAGCACCATATGCTTTTAATTTCCTGTATTCATTTTCTTTCCATCTGTTTGTTTGTTTTTGAGACAGATTCCCAAAAATCACCCAGGTGGGTCTTGAACCCCTGTGTTCAAGTGATCATCTGCCCTTAGCTTCCTGAGCATCAGGAGCTACAAGCAGCGCCACCACACCCAGCTCGTAAGATTGGTGTCAGAATGTGTCACATCTGTGGTTTCTTGCGCTATTGTACAGCAACAATAACTATAAAGATAATTGATAAAGAAAAACATCCTAGCCATCCTAGTCATGGCTTCTGTCTATAATCTCAAACTTAAAGAGGCTGATGCAAAAGGATTGCCAATAATTCAAGGTCAGTCTAGGCTACACAGAGACACCCTGGCTTCAAAAAAGCAACATTTTCATTCTTAGAGTCTATCAGCACAGGACATTTAAGCTGTATTCTTAGCCCAGTCAAGTTTCTCTCTCTCTCTCTCTCTCTCTCTCTCTCTCTCTCTCTCTCTCTCT